CCTAGGTGGGTATTACAAAATCCTACCGCGAGTGTTGTATTATCTTCCTTTTACAAAGCTTGGATGAATGTGGCGGATAAGGGCGAATAAAACAAGGCTCGATCTCAACCTCAAGCCGCCACCTCTTGCAATCCACCTAAGCCTTTGATGCATTCAACCACTACTACTCCTCCTAGTGTCCAAAACAAAGGAGTGAGAAAAAATTAGACTTCTCATCCCCTAAGGCTTGTTCGAAGGAAACATAAAGAAAAGCTCCCTCCAAACCTATGCAACAAGGTGTGAAAATCAAAGAACCTTCACCAAATAATCTCAAGAAAGCTCCGATCGTCAATAGGAAAGGAAAACAGGTTGCAAAGCCCTCAATCCCTAAATTGAAAAACAATATTTGGGTGAAAAAGAAGAGTGTAGGAGAGAGCTCTAAGGCTTCTGAAAATACTGCGATGGAAACTACTCCTCCAACATCTGTGACAATCGAGGATATAGTAAAACCATAGAGTGTGATAAAATAAAGATAAGCTTCAAAATGTCTCTCTCTTTTGGATTCTTAATAAAATCAAGATGAGCTTCATTTTTTTTAGTTTTGATATGACCGAATCATAAAGATTGCGTACATATTTGTAACACAAAATCAGGTCTTTGCATAGTTCTTCCCTTTTTTTTATTTTTCTTTAATCTCTTGAATAGAAATTAAATGAAAAAAAAACTAATCAAACTTGGTTTAAAAAGAAAACATTCAAATCAAAGTTTATTTTTAATTCTCCGAGTATATTTTATTTTTAAGAAACACCCTCTTTTTTCGCAAGTAAACGTCGGAACTTTTTTCAAGCATAAAAATCCGGGTTCGTTGTTCATCATCAGGTGGCGCGCGCATCATTTTAGGTTGCATGAGCCTATCGCGTGCAACTAAATTTGTTGCGCGTGACATTCGAGCGCAACTATTCCAGTTGCGCGCAACAACTATGCTATGAGCGTTATGATTTTTTTTTTTCATTATTACCCCCCCCCCCCCCCAAGTGTAAAGAGTTTTTCGTGATGTTCGAAAAAATCAGAACACTTAGAATGATATTTTTAATTTACATTACCACCCAAGTGTTATGTGCTTTGCCGTGTTATTTGTTAAAGTGCATAACACTTAGAATCTTTCAATTGAATGCTAAAAATGAGTTATTTAATGAATAAACGAGTTTATCCGGGTTTCATATATAATATTTTTTAAGTCGATCAATGTTTATTAATTGGCGAATTTCATCTCCTCCAATATCCATTAATCTGACGGCTCCTCCTTATAGGATTTTAATTACGCGGTAGGTAACTATCCAATTAGGCTTGAATTACCCTCCTAAATCGGTTGGTGGACCCCTAACCTCATTTATTACAAAGTCACCTTCTTTGATATTTCTAGGTTTTAACCTTTTATTAAAATGACGCGCAATGTGAAGTTGGTAGACTTGTACATGATGCAAAGCTCTTAACTGTCGTTCGTCGAGGAATGAAAGCTCTTCATACCTCGCTCTTACCCATTCAGCTTCTGGTAGCTTACTTTTGAGTGCGACGCGTAGGGATGATATTTCCAATTCGATTGCTTAAACTGCTGATGGGTGGCATTTATGCCACTCTTTTATCCTTTTTCTCTAAGGATTCTCCCCTCGTTTGCACTTGTTTGGCCCTTTTCAAATTATTTTTACTTAGTTTTGTTTCCTCCTATTCCTTCTCTTTATTTTGATTTCCATGCTTGTGTTTTGTAGGTATCATGTGCCGAAAGAAAGAGGAATTCAAGGAGCCAAGCAAACTGTTCTGTGCGGGCTACTATGCGGCTATTGCACGGCCGCGCACCCTTGGATGTGCGGGCGCGCATCCTTATTAGAACCCGCGTAGCCAAGCTTATGAAATAGAGCCAAACTAGAGAGTTTTTGCGACCTATTGTGCGGCCTCTGTGCGGGCGCGCGACCTGCTGCACGGGCGCGCAGGTTTATTATGCGGGCGCGCTTCATTTCCCCGTACCCTCAAAGTTGCAGTTGTACAATATGCTGATAGGGTGCACACAACTACTGCGCAAGCGCGTATTTCATGTGCGGGCGCGCACCGCTGGGTTTCTGATTTCTTTGCACCTTGTTGCCCAAGTTTCTTTCTTTTGGGAGAGCCACATATATATAGACGAGACTCTTTGTAATGAAAAAACACTTAGTTATAATTCCATAGGATATTAGCCTATTCTAGAGAGAGAAAGTAGATTTTTATTCAAGCATCCCTTATTGTATTCAACTTTGCTCAAGTATAGTCTTCAATCAATCAAGCAAGAATCCAAGTTTTTATCTTTTTTAGTAATCTCTTCTCCTTTCCTTTAGTTTTATTTATTTGTTTTATTGTTGCTTATTCTTATTAATCTTACTAGTTTATCAAGTTGTTATTGATTTCATTGATTTTAATCATGTTTTGTTTTGAGTTTCTTGAGTTTGTTTCTAGTTTTGATATTATGTTTAATCTCCCTTCTCTAGGCTAAATTTTTATCTAGGGGAAGGGTGTGGAAAATATGAGTTGATATTGGATGAATGATGATGGTTGGAATGAACTTATGCCATAAATTGATTAAAGACATGGTTTTTAATAGCTTAAGATTATTGTTGCACTCTATTTGATGTTTTGTAGTTTAAATGCATGAAAGTGATTTGAACTACATTAAGATTATCTCTATTTTAATGATTTCATTAGAATGAGTTATTAAAGTGGAGTTTTTATGGATTATGCTCCTTTATTCTCTTGATTTGATTGTAACTAATAGGATGCATGAGAATGATCCTTATTACTGTAGACCTCTTTCATTGATTTGCCTACACTATTGCATGTGAATGAATTGTTTAGGTAGAATATTGTGTTCTTTGGCAAGTGTTTCATGATAATCATTATTATTCCCCTTTTTCTAATTATATTTGACACCCCCGTATCCCTAGCGTCATTTTCCCTTGGTTTTAATCATCATTTTCTTGCCTTTTAGTAGTTTTAGTGTTCTTACTCAACAAAACCAACAAAAACAATTCCCTTTTTACTCTTGCATTTGTGATTATTGATGTTGAATTAGTGTGCTTCCCTACTGGTTCAACCCTTTACTTGCAACTAACTAGATTGGTGTAGGTTTAGGTATTATAAATGATTAATTTTATTAGGGTAGTAGCCTAACGACCTATTTAACCCGTGATAAAATTTTAGCTCCTTTGCCAGGGAATCTAGATGGACCGGTTACTAGTGAGGCTAGGAAACTTGATGGACCGGTTCCTTTTCCCGGCGGCTTACGGAGAGGAAGTTGAATCACAAGTTTTCAAAATTCCTTAGCGTCATAAAGATTTGCACATTAACCTCCCTTTCTTTGAAGTTGTGACACAAATGCCATCTTACTTCAAGTTCCTTAAAGATATTCTCACCAACAAGAGGAAGCTCAATGAATAGCTTATCACCCTTCCACATCAAGTAAGTGCTCTTGTCAAACATAAGATGCTCAAGAGGGAAAAAGACCTGAGAAGTTTCACTTTGCCTGTTAAAATTGGGAACAAGGAAGCTAGGGGAGCCTTAGCCGATCTTGGAGCAAGTGTTAGTTTAATCCCTCTATCCATTGGTCAAAAACTCAATATAGAGATGATCCCTACAAGAAAGACAATTCAATTGGCCGATCGGTCGGTGAAATTATCTTGTTGAGAGCTTGAGGATGTTACAATTCAAGTGGGACACATCTACGTGCCTTGTGACATTGTAGTAATGGATATGGAGGAAGATGTTAACACTCCTTTGATTTTGGGACGTGAAGCTCTTAAAACTTTAGGGGCGGTCATCAATTGCAAGAACACCACCATCACATGTGAGGTGGCCGATGAGAAGATTGTTTTTGCGTTTTCTAAGTTGCTCAAGACCCCCATGGCTGAATAATGCTATAGATTTGATGTTGTTAATGAGGAGCTAGATCGCTTGGGGAGGGTCGTGATGAGGCCTCGAGATCGAATGATAGAATCTCTTACATGCAAAGAAGAGTTCCACTCTCAAGAGGCTAAAGAGTTTGTCATGGCAATGGAGGAATCCTCAAAGGAGGAGGTAGAACAACAAGTTGAGATTGATATTGAGTCCAAGGAGGAAAAATTGGAGGAGAGTTCTAAGCCTCCTCCCAAGGTAGAACTCAAGCCCCTTCCCCCTTCTTTGAAACATGCTTTTCTTGAAAAAGAGGGAAAATACCCTATTTTTGTCAATGCTACCCTAGATGGTCTTAGTTTGGAAAAATTACTTGATGTTTTAAGAAAATATAAGGATATGATAGGGTATAACATTGATTATATCAAAGGTATTAGCCCTTCTTTATGCATGCATCGTATTCATCTTGAAGATGATCATTCCACCTCAATTGAACATCAAAGAAGGTTGAACCCCAACCTTCAAGAGGTTGTGAAGAAAGAAAATTTGAAACTACGTAAGGCGGGCATCTATGCTATCTCCGATAGAAAGTGGGTTATCCCGGTTCATGTAGTTCCAAAAAAGGGTGGGATGACCATAATCAAAGGTGAAGGCGGAGAGGAAATCTCCACCCGGACGGTGATTGGGTGGAGAATGTGTATTGATTATAGGAGGTTGAACAAAAACACTAAGAAAATCATTTTCCTCTCCCATTCATGGACCAAATGCTTGAGTGGCTCTCAACATGCTTTCTTTTGTTTGTTGGATGGGTATTCCGGATTTTTCGAAATCCCTAACCATCCAAGCGATCAATAGAAAACTACTTTCACATGTCCATATGGGACATTTGCATACCGAAGAATGCCATTTGGTTTACGCAATGCTCCTTCTACCTTTCAAAGATGCATGACCCCCATTTCTCCGAGATGCTTGAAAAAGAAATTGAAGTTTTCATGGATGATTTTAGTGTTAATGGCTCGTCTTTTGACACTTGTCTTTTTAACCTTGAAAAAGTTTTGAAAAGGTGTCAAAAGACGAGTTTGGTTTTGAATTGGGAAAATTGCCACTTCATGGTCGAGGAGGGTATTGTCCTTGGCCATAAAGTTTCAAAAAATGGCATTGTGGTTGATCTGGCCAAAGTTTCGGTGATTGAGAAATTGCCCCCTCCTACTTCTATCACGGGAGTACGAGCTTTTCTTGGGCATGCCGGTTTCTATCGGAGATTTATCAAAGACTTTTCATCAATCGCCAAACCTTTGACCGAATTACTAAAAAATGATGTTGCTTTTAACTTCAATGAGGCTTGCCTTGAGGCATTTTGTAAGCTCAAGGAAGCTCTCATTTCCTCTCCCGTTGTGCAAGCTGCGGATTGGAGCTTGCCTTTTGAGCTAATGTGCGATGCGAGTGATTTTGCAGTGGTTGCCGTGCTTGGGAAAAAGAAAGAAGGGAAATCATGTGTCATCTAATATGCAAGTAGGAATCTTGATGAAGCTCAAAAGAACTATACAATAACGGGAAGGAAATGCTAGCAGTTGTTTTTGCCTTTGATAAGTTTAGGTCCTATCTTATTTGCTCTAAGGTTATTGTGTACACGGATCATATTACGGTGCGATATCTCATGACTATGAAGGAAGAAAAGCCTCGCCTAATCCGTTGGGTTCTTTCTCTTCAAGATTTTCACATGGAAATGAGGGGCAAAAAGGGAGCGGAGAACTACGTTGCGGATCATTTGTCTAGGCTACCTTTTGGGAACAAAGATGATGTACCAATCAAAGATGAGATAGGATTTAAAACTCTCATGGCTATGGCTTCAACATGTAGCCCTTGGTATGCGGACATTGCCAATTATCTTGCTTGTGGAGTCATTTTCCAGGAGTTTTCTTCTCAACAAAAGAAGAGGTTTTTCAAGGAGGTAAGGAGGTATTTATGGAACGACCCATACTTGTTCAAACAATGCATAGATGGACTTTTTTGAAAATGTGTTTCGGATCATGATATCGAAGGAGTTCTTTAGCATTGCCATTCACTACCATGTGGAGGACATGGGGGTGTTTATAAGACGGTGGAAAAAATCTCTCAATCTCTATTGTGGTGACCAACGATTCATAAGTATGCCCACAAGTTAGTTTTACAATGTGATAGGTGTCAAAGGAGTGATGCCCACAAGTTCGTTTCACATAATGTCTTGGAAGTTGAGCCCTTTGATGTATGCGGAGTGGACTTTATGGGGCCTTTCGTTTCTTCTTAGGGAAATCTATATATATTGGTAGTGGGTGATTATGTGACGAAATGGATTGAAGCCATACACTCACCTACAAACGATCACATGGATGTGCTTAAGCTTCTAAAGAAGATCATTTTTCCTAGGTTTGGAGTTCCGATGTTGCTAATTAGTGATAGAGGCTCCCATTTCGCCAAAAAGAAATTTGAAGCTCTTCTCAAGAGGTATGGCATTCATCATAAAATTGTATTACCTTATCACCCTCAAACTCAAGGAAAAGTGGAGGTCTCGAATTGTGAAATCAAATATCTTCTTGGAAGGATGGTTAACAAATTAAGGAAAGATTGGTCTCTCAAACTTGATGACACACTATGGGCTCTTAGGATGGCGTACAAGACTCCAATCGGCACGACCCCCTATAGTTTGGTTTATGGAAAGGCTTGTCACATGCCGGTTGAGTTGGAATACGAAGCTTGGTGGACCATCAAAGAACTCAATATGGATTTATCATTGGCCGGTGAGAAGAGATTGCTTAAGATCAATGAACTTGAAGAGCATTTAGATGATGCTTAAAAGAGCTCAAGGTTATATAAGGAGAAGACCAAAAAGTGGAATGACCAACATATTCGAAACAAGAGCTTTAAGGTTTGAGACAAGGTTTTGCCTTTCAACCTAAGGCTTTGTTTGTTTCCGGGTAAACTCAAGTCCAAGTGGTCGGGCCCTTTTGTGATATCGAATACTACTCCTCATGGCTACTTTGAGTTAGATGTGGATGGCAACAAGTTTATGTTCAATGGTCATCGTTTAAAGAATTACTATTGCAAGGAAGAATTTGGTGTCATCGAATGTATAATGCTTGATCCTTTGAATCCCAAGCCATCCCCTTGAAGAATTTTCCTCATGGTCAAGCTAGTGACCTCATAAAGAAGCGCTTCCCGGGAGGAAACCTAAGTTTCTAACTCTTTTCTATTTTTTATATATTCCGTTTCACTTTTCTTTTTTGAATTTGAAATTTGTTTTTTCCCCTTTTTTGATGATAGGTTTTTGGATGATGAAGGAGTAAAGGTTTTTCTATGTCAAAGATGAGAGAAGATAGAAATTAAAGATTTTCTCTACGCGACCTTGTGCACGACTAATGTGTGGGCGCGCAGTGAAAAGTGTGCAGGTGCGCAGCCCTATCAGAACCCGCACACTTTTGTTCGAAATTTAAGCTCGAAGACAGAAAGTTTGCGCGACCTTGTGCGCGACCTCTGTGCGGGCGCGTAAGGAAGGGTGTGTGGCCGCACAACCTGTTAGAACCTGCACACTTTTGTTCAAAATTTGAGGTTTGAGAAAGTGAGTCTACACGACCTAGTGCGCGACCCTTGTGCGGGTGCGCAGGTACCTATGCGGGCGCGCAGAGCTGGGAAAACTGGGTTTTAAGTTCTTCTTGCCCATTTCACCCTCATAATTTTTGTAACCCTTTTTTCATGCTCTATTCTTCTCTCTCCGCACAAAATCAAATCCTAGCCTTTCAATTTCAACCATTTCTCACAAATTCCATTGATTTTCCTTCAAATTCATCAAAAATTTTAACTCTACTCACAAATTTACCCACTTTCTCTCTCTAAAATACCCAAAAATCCTCCATTTTTATGGTGTGCAAGCTTGGTTGAAGGTGGTATTCTTGTGGGTTCTTAGTGGTGTTCAAGCTTTTACTAAGTGGTATGTTATTTTCACTTGTTTATGCAAAATTTTTAGTTATTAACCATGGTTTAGATTGTGTGAGTTTCATGTGATTTTGATTTTATTTGCTAAGGAATTGTTGGTTTTTAGTGTCATATTTAGTGATTTTAGAATATTGTTGTTAACATTATTGATTTTGAAGCTATTTTCATGGGATTTAGTTGAGTAATTTTGTGTTAGTATTGATGATAATGCAACTATATTCATGAAAATTGCTTATTATCATAATGTATTGTGATTGTGTGTTTCGTTGTTGATTCTAGTTGTTTTTGGTGCTACATTTGTGTGGTTAGTTGTTTGTACTAACCTTTTTGTAGATTGTTAACGCTCAGGTTGTTGTTGTTATGTTTCAATTATTGGTTGTGTTCGAAGTGAGTTCTCTTGAGGCCACAATGAACAAAAGGGAGAGTAGAAAGGAGCCCTGGTTAAGGGTTGAGGAGCCTAGTGCTCAAACTAAAGCTAAAGGACCAAATGTTCCTCCTCGATTGAAATTCTTGAACTAGCTCCATGCTACCTTCTTCAATGACCTTCAAGGACGAAAGCTAAATCCCACGAGGCACTATGATCAATGCTCCATGAGAGCTTTGGGGATTGATTATGACATAAGGTCACTCCTTGACAACTTAGGGATGAATGAGTTCATCAAGCATCAAAATCGAACATATAAAGAGCCCACCTTCAAATTCCTAGCCTCATTTGAAAAAGAGCCTTATGGGAATAACGACTTCCAAATTTCCTTCCAACTATTCAACAACCAACACACTATGACTCTTAGTGATCTCAATGCATTATTGGATTTGAAACCCGAGGCGGACCTCCTTGCCCCTTCTTTGAGCCTATTCCTGAGTACGATGCATTTTGATGGTGGCAAACGATTACCGATTTTGTAGAGTTCAACACTAGGAATTATGTGGCCAACCAAATTATCCACCTTGTTCTCTGTATCCTTCACCGCATTTTGGGGTATGCGGTGTTTATCAAGCAAGACATGAGTAATCTCTCGCATGAAGAGCTCTTTCCTTTGTGGGTTGCTACTTGGGAGGAGTTGAGAGGGCGGCTCAACATGGGGTACTGGTTCATCCTGTGCTACGAGGCAATCAAGTCGGGTCACAAGACGGGGGAAATTACCCTTGGTTGGATGATCACAAGGATTGCAAAGAAGCTTAACTATGAACGCTTTTTCCCTTAATGCACTCAAGTTAGGGCAGGCAAATATTTATTCATTGACATCCAACAAATGAGAAGGTCAGGGTTCCTCCAAGGAACTTTAGATGCCAACAATTTTCATGCTTGGATTGTTTAGCGCGAGCACTATTGTATTTTGCTAGGAATGTATGGAAAATTCCACAAGACAATGGTGTGTTACCCACTGCTTTGGGTGGCGCAAGGAACATGGTAGTCGAACAACAACAACAATAGCAACAACAACAATAATAACATCATCATCAACAACAACAACAACATCAAAGCATGAGTAGCCTTAAATAGCAAATGATGAGCATGCAACTTGGCATGCAAAGTTTGATGGAGAACCAACAGGGTATGTTTATGTGATGAGTGGCATTTATGCCACTCTTTTATCCTTTTTCTCTAAGGATTCTCCCCTCATTTGCACTTGTTTGGCCCTTTTTCTATTCATTTTTACGTAGTTTTGCTTCCTCTTTTCGTTTCTCCTTTATCTTCCCTTTTCTTAGTCTTCTCGCCTTGTTATTATTTTGATTTCCATGATTTTGTTTTTTAGGTATTTTGTGCCGAAATAAAGAGTATTTCAAGGAGCCAAGCAAACTATTCTGCGCGGGGTGTTGTGCGGCTGCTGTGCGGGCGCGCACCCTTGGCTGTGCGGGCACGCAGCCAGGCTGAAGAAACAGAGACAAACAAGAGAGTTTGCGCGACCTACTATGTGGCTTCTATGCGGGCGCGCTTGATTTCCCCGTACCCTCAAAGTTGAGGCCGCGCACTATGCTGAGAGGGCGCACACATCTACTGCGCGGGCGAGTATATGTCGTGTGCGGTCACGCACCAATGGGTTTCTGATTTCTTTGCGCCTTGTTGCCCAAGTTTCTTTCTTTTAGTGGAGCCACATATATATAGACGGGACTCTTTGTAAAAAAGGACACTTAGTACTAATTCCATAGAACATTAGCCTAATCTAGAGAGATAAAATAGATTGTTATTCAAGCATCCTTTATTGTATTCAACTTTGCTCAAGTTTTAATCTTCAATCAATCAACCAAGGATCTAAGTTTTCATCTTTCATTAATCCTTTCTTTAGTAATCTCTTCTCCTTTCCTTTAGTATTATTTATTTGTTTTATTGTTACTTATTCTTGTTAATCTTATTAATTTATCTAGTTGTTATATTGATTTCATTGATTTTAATCATGTTTTGTTTTGAGTTTCTTGAATTTTATTCTAGTTTTGATATTATATTTAATCTCCCTTATCTTGCTAAACTTTTAGCTAGGGGAAGGGGGTGGAATATATGATTTGATATTGGATAAATGATTATGGTTGGATTGAA